AAAAAAATCAGCGATTTTTTTTTGACGAGTAGTTTTAAAGGGTGACACCTGTCAATCGTTTTAAATTTACGATTACGACTGTTTTCAGCTAAGGCAGTGTTCCTGAGTTAGATGGTACAATTTTTTTCTTGATATTGTGTGTAGTTTTATAAATATCCAAGTTTGGTTTCGGGCGTCTACGGCAAAATCGAAACTATCTTCCAGATCTAGAGGGATGGCAGCACTGATCATCAGCCGTACGGCCACGACGTGACTTTACAAGGGTGCGGCGCAGTGTTGCCAGATGGTCCCACCAAAAAACCGCCAAACGACTGGAAGGTGTAGCTCAAATATAGCCAAATCCGTAAAACAAATATAGCTCAAAATAGCCAAGACTAAAAACAATGTTTTTTAAGCCTTATATTGACAATTTTTCACACTCATACAATACACGTTACAATCTCTGTTCCAACCCTCAGGCGCACCACCCTTCGTGTACATTATGTTACTTGTGAATTTTTCAAAAAAGCTTTGGAAGGATGAAAATCCGCACAAAACTGGCCCATCCTTCGTATGTTTTCAGAAGCACAAAACACACAAAGACAGCTTTATTGCTAGCCCGGGAGATATGACCGTAAAGTTAAAGAGCACATATACAGAAGCAGAACATTCAGAACATTGGGTGTTTCTCACCAATATCCCACCCATCGATTTTTCGTTGTGGAGAATATTAGTGTCACCCACTCATGTTCATGCTATTTCTAATTGTGTTGTCCTTTCTTGGGGTGGGCAACGACTGAAACTGCGGACTTCTCATTTCTACAAACTTGGATGCTAAGGATTCTCACAATTGGCACCAAAGCAGCATTTTGGAGAGCTCAGTTTACGTCCGGGCAGAGCCATATGCGTCCGGGTTGAAGGCGCGCTACTGGGCCAGTGGTGCAATAGTGCAATCTGTTTAGTGTGCTCCACTACGCTGTAGGGAGACCGCTTGAACTTTGCAAGCATTGCTTCACTGTGCATAGTGAAAACCCCGAAGTTTGTAGAAGTGTGAAGCCTTTCTCCTTCCTCTCGGCTAGCCAAAAGGAAAAAAAAAAAAAAAAAATTCGAAACTGATTAAAAGTTTGAAAATTAACTAGACGAACTTCAAAGTTCGGCGTCGAACCTAAGGTTCGACAAAAGTTCGCCGCATTCTTATAGCGAGTTCGTTTCACGGCACTCGTGCCCACGCGTGCCCACTCGCAGCGTGGAACGGGTTCGTTTCGGCCGGCACTCCACGAGTGGTTGCACTCTCCGAGTTCGTTTCAGCGCTGACACCCCACGCGTGCATGCACTCGCTGCACCGAGAAAATCGGGAGTGCGCCAAAATGCAATCCCGTCATGCCTCGCTCCGGTCGAGCCGGCGAGGAGCGGGAGCAGACGACGAGGGCTCGTCTGCTACGATGTGTCGCGGAACCGAACGGGAAAAAAAGTAGATTTTCTCATAGATATCGCGTCCCGCGGGCCATGAAATCAAACGCGAGCTTGAATTGTGAGCGTCTGCTATTTCCCGAAGGAAGCAATTGACAACCCGTGATTTATTTGCAGGTTTTAAATCGCTCTGTTGCCGCACAAACGCTGAAATATACCAGTGTGTAAAGAAATGCTCAGAACAAACGCAACAGCGGCCCCCGAGATGTCTATCACCATCCGTGTGCGGGTGAAAAATTTAACATTTTTCGACAAAACTCCCCCAGCAGAAACCTCTGACTGCCCAATGAGCATCAGAGAAAGCTAAAGATGGAGACTTTATCCGAGGATTGGGCAACATCATCATGTTTAACATTTACCTACGTCAGCTAACTTACCCCGTCGTATTTTGTTCGAGAAAGCTCTCATTCTCGACGCCCTCGCCAAGGCTAATATCTAATCCTGACGATCCAAATCGGAAGTCCCAGTTTTGCTGGATATTCCAACAGGATAGTTTTAAGCCGTACCCTTTCAGTGGTTCACGAATAATACCATGCTCAAACGGATCAAGCTTCTGCTCAGACAGCATCATCAGTTTTCTTCAGTGTAAACGGTTATAAGAATTGAAAGATCGCAACCAGCTGCTTTGTAGACAGCTGGTTGCGGAAATTTACGCCGTCTTTAATTATCTCTACGGCAGCCTAGCTGCTTGAAGTCATCGCAACTATAAACTACAGGTTGCAGCGACCAACGTTTGTAGATAAACGTTGGTAGCGACTGCATTCTCGCATTCCCACGCATCACTCCGAACAGAAAGGCGCTAGTTTCGGTTTGAAGTCGGTACCTTTTCTACAACATAGATGGCGGCAGCGTCAGTCTTCTGCATTCGGTGCATTTGGCGAGTTCGTTTGAGCCCAGTTTTCCGTGCAACACTCTGTGAGTGCGATGCATTCTGGGAGAGAACTCGAACGGTGCCAGTGCGTGTGAAACGAACTCGCTATATGAAATAGCCCAAAATAGCCACATAGCCAACCACAAAATTTTGACGCCAACTAGAAAAAAATGTAGCCCAATTTGGCTATATATAGCCCAATCTGGCAACACTGGTGCGGCGGTACGCGGTACAACCAATCAACCGCAGCTGCCCCGGACGTGAAGTCACAAGGGTGCTGCGCCAGTGTTGCTTGACTAAAAGCTAACCTGCTAGCCGCCCGGTAAAGAGCAGCTCGTCGCGTATTTAAAATCGGTTTTAGTGGAGTACGCGGCTTTAATTTGACGTGATATTTTGGCTGTGATCATATTTCGTACCACTAAACGAGACCAGTCATTTAGTTTGGTTTCGTTTTCGATCGGAGTTGCCCCAAAAGCTGGCGTCGGTGACGTGACGGGAAATTCGTGATTGGTCGATAGGCTCATCACGTCACAGTTACATGACCTCGCGCGGGAATTTCAAACAACCCACAACGCTCACGTGAAACGCGACGTCAAGCGTGGAATTAAAGTGATTAAAAGCATGACCTGTAATGTGAATTAAAGGTCCGCCCCATGTCTCAAATGATATAACTTTATAAAGTAATTCATTTGCCTTAAAGAAAAATTTTAAAACTTTTAGGTGGGATTTGACCCCACGACCCTCCGGTTGCGAGCCAGAGTCGCAACTGACCAGGCTATGTCCGCCCCACTTCCTGCTCATGGGTAGGAAGAGCCTGAGAAGCGAATGAGGAAATGATGCGAAGCATTTTTAATTGCCCCTTGAAATTTCTAAACCTTGTACTTAGGACAAGTTGATAGCGCCATAACAATATAAACGTTTCAGATACAGCTATGATTTACATATTATTCGAATGAAAGTTTTAATACAACTATATGACCTAAAGTATAGTGTTGTAGCTATTTTATTTCTTTAAATAACGTCTCAGAAATCTAGTGACAAAACGTGAAAGGAGCCGAGTTTGCGCTTTTTTTTTTTTACGCGGGACACATAACATCCACAATGCTGTAAAGATTTACGTCAATAGTTCCTATGATCTACCGTAAGTACAAACTGTTTCAGCTTTCTGATGTTTGTATTTTGCGCAAAAGGTGTCACCGAACATGGCAAAAACGAAAACTTCGAAATTTGAGCGTGTTGGTTATTAATTTACGATAAAGAAAGAGGAACATTTAAGACAAACAGACAAGACTTGTCTGTTTGTCTTAAATGTTTCTCTTTCCTTATCGTAAATTCGAAATCAAATATGCAGTTCCAGCGCACTTTTTGTTTCTTCTTAAAATATTTTTTTTCACGAAATCGTTTTTGATTACGTTCCCTACATATGTTCAAGAGTAATATAAAAAATAGAAGAAAAAACACGTTCGGACACGCGTGCATCTTCTTATTTGAACAGAGTCAACGACAAAGCCTACACATTTGGAGACGTTTTTGTGCATAGATTTTGCGGGAGCAGACGCGGATCCCTTTTCTACAAACAAAACGGACAACACTGAAACGGGGACCTATAACTGTGGATTTCGGATCTCCGTCTGTCGAATTAACAGTCGTTAATTTAAGTTTATAGATGGACAGAGGAATGAAAACTTGCAAACGGAAAGAGGTTAGTATATATAGCTTTGTAGTTCACTGCAAATAACTGATGTCGCGTAACGTGCATGCGCATTAGATGCCGATGCGCAAGCGCAAACAAATTATTTTTAATATTCTGTTTTGCCATTTATTATGTAACCCCGGACTGGTTAGGTGCCCCGATTGGTACATAAGCAAGTGTTGTGTGTCTTTCGAGAAGTTACAGTTGCTACTTCGAGCGTTTACTTTGAAAATCTCAGGAGTTCTATGGGCGCTGCGTACAACGTGTGAGTTGAGTTTGTTTTTAAAATTTACTTTTCTATAACCGAAAACTCACAAACTTTTATCGAGTGTTTAAAAAACGATATTATGAACAGAGGGAATAGCTAGCACGTGAGATACTCCTCAAATGATTAAATAAAGATAAGATTAAATTCAAAGCGCGTTTTGGGAATGGGTTGTTTTAGGCTACACAAATTACACTCGAGCAATCGCCTGAAAAAGTAGTAAAAAGTAACAAGACGCGTACAAAAATAATTAAATCAATAATGAATATGAGTGTGGCGGTTAAACATTTTCACTATCGTTTGACCGTAGATGCAAAGAATGCGGCAATATCGGAGCTAGCCTAGCGGCGTTCAGTCCTAGCGGCACAAAAGCCACGCGGAGAGCCCCGGGTACGTTAAGCTGTTAAAAAAAGAAAAAGAAAAAAGAAGCGGCGGGGATGGGGATTGCCACATTTTATATTGTTGCAGTGTGACACTCAGTTTGAAAGCTTAGCATTCCGGAGGCACCCCATGCGACATTTTACACTCTTCGGCTAGCACTAAAATGGGCCATCTCTTATTGCTGCTGACGTGGACAAAGGGTATACGCTCAGCAGACGACTGGGACGACCTCTCTGCCGGATCGTGATTCATCTGCCATTTGTCTGGTCAAACAACGATGGAAATGGCACATAATTTGATTCTCTACGTAAGCGTGCCGTAGAAGTCTGATAGGTGCGTACCGTGAATTGATCCGAATTCGCTGAAGACTTGTCGGACCGTTCTGTTGCCTGGTGGCGTGGACGTTCCTTCCCCTCCCCCGCGTCGCTGAACGACAAAGAACCGCTCGAGGAGCTGGAAGTCGTGCTCTTCGCCGACGACAGGTGGACGGTTCTTCATTGAATCCAAGACAACGTCTGCAGAACCGCAGTGCTTCTGGAATCTGGGCAAAGATGATGATACGCTATTAGCGTGCGCCGTGATCGGAAGGCGGCAAGAAAACATGCTCCTCTTCTGCAAAGCACACGAACACTAAGACCGAGAAAAGAGAATCATGTTTTTCGGCCCGGGTAAATAAAGTACGCATCGCAGGAAGCTTTTACTTCGTGAGAATGTGACACTAGCGGATGGGGTAAAACACGAAAGCTTAGAAGGATGACGTTACCTGGATCAAAGGATAATTGAGAAAGACGAAATTTATCTTTGAGACGACATCCGCCTAAGCCGAATATCGTCAAAAAAAGAACGGACATTGTGGACGCATGAGGGATTTATATCAGTGGAAACTATAGATGTGTCAGCAAGAGAGAATATTGTTTTATATCTTGCTTACAAGTTTTTGTTACTGAAAGAGATGCTACAGGCGCCCACAATGGCGTTTCTTGTTTTGAAAACCTCAGGCTTAAGTGGACGTCGGCACACAGAAAAATGTTATTTTTTTTTCAATTATCTTTTGATTCAGGTAACGTCAAGTTCTCAAACTTTTGTGGTCTATCACAACCGCTAGCGTCACATTCTCGCGAAGTTTAATGGGGCCATGAAATATTTTTTTGAACTTCTTCCTCCTCGGCTTTTCTCCTCAACTCAAAAGCGAAATGCGAAATCTCGTGGTCGTGACAAGCTTGGGCACCGGTGCGATGACTCCAAGCTTCCACCGTGCTTTTGAAGCACACCATGGAACTTGTCATTCGCAATTAATGATTAAGTGCCGTCACTGCACTCATAGGCCTCGGACGCGAATCCAAATTTACGTCGACGGGTTGATTGTTGACGGCTGCATCCGTCCGAGCGACGCAGTGCTCGTGTCCAATGCGTGAGCTGGGTTCGGCTGACGTGCTTTAGGTACCGCGGATTTATCCCAGTGAAAAGGCGGAGAGCGTTCGAAGGAAAGGAGGTAAGAAATAGTTCGCTACATTTTAAATTTTTGTACGGATAATCTGACTTTCTACCCTCTTTTGGCCCACTAAACGATATGCGATTAGTAACATCTTAATCTAAAGTCATTTATTCAAACTCAAATTTTATTTCACTGAAGCGGTTCTGTATTTGAGGAAAAACACTTAAGTTGTCTTCATTTGGTCTCCAGGATCACGAATGTTAAGATTATTTTAAAATTTTGCACATGGAAGCTGCAGAAAATCATTTTCGAAGTACGGCTGAAGCCCCTCCTTCCCAGAGCGTGACATCATATTCAGTTTTCGGAAGCACCGCTCTCGTTCATCTTCAGGGCCTATCAAAGCTATGCACGCGCACTCTTGCTATTTTAAAAAAAAAGTCAGAAAAAAACGTAACGTCTGGTGTCAGTGCGGGGGAATATACCTGGCAAGCTTGCTATTGCAAGTGCTGCCCCCACGAGCGACACGAGCTTAGCGGCCGAAAGATCCTTTATGACGTTACAACTGGCCGAAGCTTTTCTCTCTTTTTTTTTTTAATGTTTTCTCGCGTTTTGTTACATCCTCGGGGAAATCTAACGTGATATCCAGATTCACTGGATAGAAATTCTCTGGAATCCACCCGTAACTCGTTTTTTTTTTTTTCAAAAACCTCTTCAGCTTTTTTCCCCTTTTTTTCAGCTTTCTGCAGTGTATAGTTTATTTACCCGGATTTAAAAAACAAAAGCAAAAAAAAAAAAAGCGCGTTTTTTTTCTTTTTTGTTTGGCGACAATGTTCATCAACCATCGTAAATACGCCCACTGCGATTGATTGTGGAACAATATATCCCACAAATGTCCCCTACAAGTCTGCTGTCAAACTTTCCTTCTTTTGACGAAATTAGCGATGTCATTTCCTCAGTATTGCGGCTAATTATCGCCAGTAATAGGTCGATCCCTTCCTTGAGCCTCAAAAAATCTTTCTGGTTGCTTTATTTTTCATAAACACGAGATTTCAGAACCCCCCCCCCCCCCCCATCTCTTCCAAATAAAATAAAATAAAATCGGACAGTGTTAATTTACACGACCTCGGTGGCCAACTCCGGTCGCATCGCGTAAGATGACATGAACAGGAAATTGCTGTTGCAACAAGTGAGAGTGGACCAGCAGGGTCTTGAAGGTCATTTGTCGAATATTTTTCTTCTACAATTAATCGCAGTGTGTGTACTTTATGCTGAAAATGAAAGATGAACACTTTTTTGAATAAATTATAATTTTCATTACGATACTAAATCTTTCACTCTTATTAGGACACCCTTTAAGCGGCTTGCACGTGATGTCATCGCTTCACGCTGGTGGCCATTCCTAATTGTTCTTGCCGAGAAAAACAGATGCTGCTAAAGGTACGTGCTCAGGAGCAAAGCCACCATAACGACTGCTGTCATGATGTGGATGCAAGCCATGCATATCGAAAACGTAGTGCAAGCCTTCCTTTGCATGCGAGGATTTGACTTTGCAAAGCACCCAAAACTCGCGAAGGAGATAGGACCCCCTTCCCTCTCTGTTGTCTTCACTCAGCCACATGGGCGGTGACATATAGCTACGAGGGCTGATGAGAGGGTCTGGTATTTGAAATAGCTGCATCTCCGTGCCACTCTTATCACAACTGAGACGTACCTACGACCAAGCTCGCAGGTCCTTTGTTCAATACTTACCTCCCGTCGATCGCCGTCACATTATTCTGGTCGGAAAGCTTTCTACAGCTACCGCAACCCGACTTCGGATTCCGCAGTTTATTTTAAGGTGTACGATATGATAGACGAGATACGAATAGAACACTACAACTCAAAATTGGGGTGTCTTTAAAATTGCCTTTGATGCGTCGGAACATCGTTGAAAGTTTATAATAGAAGAGATGAATGAATAGAAAAGACGAGTTATTCATGCTCTGCTGAAATGAAGCGCCACACACACCTGCTGTGCTCCTCGGGATTGTGAGTCTCGGGAAACTGGAAAGCGCAGCAATGGTACGGGTAGGTCAGGTGTGCAGCACGGATGAAGCGGAAGTGATACACGGAAGGAAACTCGCGCAGGGTCGGCGTGTCTCGGACTTCCAGCACCTCCAGGGACTCCAGACCCCGGGTGGGGAGGCTGCTCACGCTCGTCTCGGAGAGGTCGCTGCCGGAAGCAGACAGGCGGCGGTCGGGACGGTGGTACACTTCGCGGTACACTAAGCAAAAAGGCATTAGCGGCGTCTCGTCACAACTGACACAAGACAAGTGTTGAACACCAGTGCGTCATCACCCGAGTTGGTAGCACGTCCTTAAACTGCGTCGGTTGTTTGAGCGGACGCCTCTTATATGCCCGAGAATAGGAAATCGAGGAAAAGCTCAGCGATCGCCCATGAGAAGCATATTTCGTACTCCAAGGCTTGCGTATTCTTCTGACCTCGGGGATGTGCGAAGAGCGCCCGTTGAACTGGTCAGAGATGCTTTGGATGTATTTTACGAAGCACTGACAAGAGCACATTTCCAAGAAAAACAACATATGTGCCTTCTCATTCTTCATAAAGGTACCTAGATTTCCACTCTCTCTTCCCGTTCACTTTCTCAATATCTTATTCTAGAAACTTTTGAAGAGAGGAGACAATAGAGAAAGTGATAAGTAATGTAATTATAAAAGCATTTAATTTTCTTGGAAGAGGTATTTTTACCGCGCTTTTTTCGTTTCGATTACACCCGCAGATTTTTTACGCCAGAATCTTCTATCTAAATTAGAGTGCCTATCGTCAGTGGATGATCCTCATTTAAAGTTCCTCATCTGCATCAAACTGACATGAGACTGCTTCAAAAACGTGCAGTGTACTTTGTAACCTAACACCGGTACTAGGGCACATGATTTAAAGCAAAGTTTCTTTTCTGGTTTGATTATTTCTGGTCTATGTTTTGAAAGTTATACATTTTACGAACTATAAGTTCATGGCTTCATTAAAAAAAATAACAAATAATTATATTAGGCTATCATTCAATTTTTACTCAATATAATGAGCATTCCGAAAGTAGTTCCTTTCCCTTTGCTACCCTGAATTTTCCAAAAAGTTTTTTTTTTCTTTAATCACATTTGCTCTGGTACGGGCCGTCTTCATTGAAACATAACTGGATGTTGGTTTAAAATTATTGGACATGTCTTCCTTCTCTTGTGTTTGTTTCTAAGTATTGTGTTTTGAGCGAAGTATTGTACTAAAATGGAATCACTAGCATACCGGGCTTCTAGGATATAAGTTATATTGTTGTGGACGTTCGTCAAATTGAATGCATTGTAATAATACAATACAGCAGAGATTTTTGGTGGTTTTCGATCAATCTGGTCTAAAAATAGCTGGAATTTCTAGCACTTTATTGTTTAATTAATAATTCTTGAAAGCATTAAATTTAGTCTGCTGCAGACTTGCGTGCTTGATTGCTTGATTGATTAGTCAATTTAAACGAGTCAGTGGAGCGGTGAAGTCTAGATGGGAAGGTTGATGAATGACTTATTACACAAGGCTCATCATCCCTCCTAGTCTTCATCTAAAACCTTGTCGTGAAAAATAAAAACAGATAACACAATTGCATCAAAGTAATGACTACGTGCAGACGAGTTGGCTCGCTGTGACCGACATAGTTCAAAACACTAAAAATGACAGAAAAAAAAACAAACAAAAAAAAAACCTGGACAGCTTACAAGGCGCAACACCGCCCAAATTCCATGCATTGGTAGTTATGTTTCTTTTTGGTTTGCACAGTGTTAGGACTTTAAACCATATCATAATACACAGTCCTGCTCTAGATTGAAACGCAAAATGTCTCGGACAAAAAAGAATTGCCAGCGATATTGATTTTTTTTTCTTCTGCCTAAGCGATTGGGACGCTAATTGGATTACTAATCTTGGCTTGCGAGAGGTCGACGTACTGGGGAATAAGTTTTAGCTCTTGCGTACCATGCTTTTTATTTGTTTGTTATGTGCACCCTTAATCACACTTGGCTTTAACAGGCCAGCTGTGGTTTTTCCATCCTCCCAATGCCCACATAACACGTGCACTCCGAAACACCGCGTAGTCTGGAAGAACAAGTCCGCTCTACTCCGTTTGCGTGGTGCTTGCAAGTACACCGTTTATGTGGGCGCTGGGAAGACGGAGAAACCAGGGGCAGCATGTTATAGCTAACTGTAATTGAAGGCGTACCTTCTCATTATGTTTTGCAATTATTGTTTGAGCAAAAACTCTAAACCTTTCCCGAAACATGGAGACAAACCCTGATTCACTCGGTGCGATTTTACTTGCGATTTCAAAGCTGCGACGTCGCTCGTGGGACAAAAAAGAAATGCCTAGGGAAAGCTGCGGTGTCTAACGTCGCAGCTGCGAATTCGCAAGCAAAATTGCACCATGTGAATCGGGCTCGATAAACTTCCCACTGCAGGTTTATATTTATTTGAGTAATATCTTTAATTCCCAATGTTTCTGATTTTATTGCATCTCGATTTCCGCTTGGTGACGTCATAGAAGTGTCATGCTTTCGTCGGTCCCGATCCTGGCGGCATCCCAGTAGCGGTGGCGTATGGCAGACGCCTGTTCCGCTGCAGATCGCTCTTTAGTGTAGCAGTCCACGGAAGCTTCGGCAGCCGGAAGTTGGGACGCCGTGACGACAGCGACACTCGCGTTCGCTCGTGCTTTGCGCCAGCAATTCTACAGCCAACCGCCAGGGTCGCGATATCCGACAGTATGACACTTCGGCTTCTGTGACGTCATTTTGTTGCCACTTCGGGACCACTTTTGATGTGTGGGCAGGATAGGACGCTAAACACACCAGTCAGAGACGCGCTCCATGCGCCATAGTAAAGCCTTTGTCTCTACTCACACTTCGAGCGCGTTCGATTGCCAAACGCCGGCGTCCTGCAGCGTTCCGCCTTAGCGTTTGAACGCCGTGGAAGAGTGAGTATAGACACAAAGGAAGCTAGCTTTATGTCTACCCACTAATCAGCCCAATCAGAACTCGGTGTTTCGACGATTCCCTCGCGTGAACAGCGTTCCCATTTCGTGTAGCGCATTAAAAAGAGAGAAAATCTACAGCTAAGTTCACACTGGGTAGAATCGTTTCAGAGTTCGTTCTATTTTTCTTAATCACTGGTCTAAAAAAAAAATGATTAAGCAGTTCTGCCTGTATAAAAGATAACAGGTGAGACCCATTCAAATTTTAAAGTACCCTTTTCTATATGGAGTCACAATGTTCGACGCTCATTGTTGACGAAGTCTTTTTGGTAATGCGAACGATCGTTAGATTGACGGGCGCTTATTCTGGCGAAGATATGAGCGAAGACCACGTGTTTGAAAGCATCAAAGAGCGCCGCGTGCATTTTTTTAACCCGGTGCTACCTCTAGATGACAGCAAATGTCGTCGATATCCCAAGCTGTTTGCCAATATAATTAGTACATTACCACACACTAACTATATGCTTATACGCTCGTGTATGCTACTCATGAACACTTCGCTCCAAACGGACCAGTTCTTTTTGTCTCTTCTTTCTATACAGAAACCAACAGAAACCGCAAAAACAATGTCTCGCAAAGCTATGATGAGTAGCTCTACTATACTGGATTTATTGGTCCTCATTTTTCCCCCAAGAAAAAAGTCAAAAGCTGCCCCCGACTAAAGTTCTTTGATACTTCTACAACTTTCGACAACCATCACGCATTACGAAACACATTTCACGGGAGCCCAATGACGTCTTTCAGTCTATTCTTGCGCTGTGTGCCGCCATTCGCCTCCTAAAACCTGCACCATCACACAATCAGCTTGTCAAGGAATGTCGGTACTTGTAAGCTTGTAAGAAGCACAAAGTGTAGCCGACGTTACGAGCTAATGGGACCAATCAAGCAGAGTTAAAAACGCATGTCACTGGGCCTCGTTTGTTTATGATCAGTTCAGCGATGATAGAACACGTGCATAAACGTAACGAACACCATGATGGTGCGCTTTCTAAACGGTAACCTTATTGTGTACTGGTTCGAGTGGAGTAAAGATTTTGTCGTCTATCCAAGCCACAGACACTCAGACATAAAGTTTGATCAACAGATTCAAAAGACGACAACATAAAGAGGTGACATGTTTTTCTTTCATCTAGATCGTAATGAATCTTATGATGCCATCTCTCTGTGCTGACACTTCTCAATGGTGTAACTGGTACAACAAGCTGATAACAAACTGACTTGCAGGGTTACGCATAAGAGATCATGATTGTATTTTCATTATTTTGCAACGTCATCTAGTGCGGCTTACGGAGCGCAGAAAAACACAAGAGGAATCAAGTAAGTACAACATCTATATCTGAAGTAACGAGTCTGTCGTAAATACGCGCTGCTGAACATCTCTTATGCAGATCCAGTTAGCCTTAAAATAAGGCGGGAATACGGTGGTACTTATTGAAGGGTCACTGCGTCTAGCACGGGGGGCCCAGGATGATTAGTCCTTATCTCGTCGTCAATCTTCACGACCTCTTCGGCCGCCTTTTTATATGGTCGATTTTCTCGAGCCAATGGAAGTGGTATTTTGTATATGATAAAGAACTTGTGATTTCTGGAGGACTTTCAGGAAGTCTATTGATGTTAGTACCCTTAGTAATTTCTCGCGTAACAATGAAGTTGAGACGAAAACCCGATAACGCCGATGTCTTACAGATGACTCAGATTGGACAATCCCACGAAGGCATCGTCTTCAAGTAGGGTCAGCTTATGATTGCCGCGTAATCTCCTGAAACAAAACAATGCCACTTATTGTCATATGAAAGAGAACTGAAGTATTCTGATACTGGTAATAATTCTATTTATAACCCAGAATATTGGTTCGCTATCTTCGAATTTATTCTACCCGCGCACATTGAGTCACCTAATATAACGGGGACATTTTCCCCTTTTAGCCCACGTAGCTACGGCACGTTTTTCGCATATTTCGCACTCACTCTTATGCAAATAAACAATATTTACCGTCTGACTATATTTGGGACCGTTTTCAAGAACGGTCAGCCCTACTTTGAGGCTTTGGGTGCAGGTGGAAACTAGGCATTAAACAGCATATATTTATTTTATTTATTTATTTATTTATACTGTTAGTCCTATCACAGGGCCATTACAGGAGTGGAAGGTACGAACGATAAAAAGCAAAGAGATACAAGATGTAAATACACACAGTTCTCGCATTTCGCTTGGTTTCATAAAAAATGCTGACACTTCATTGGTAACTTCCCGTACTGGCACGGTAATCAAGACGAGACACCACGATACTCCTCAGTTACTCACACATATCAAAACGTTTTCAATGCAGTGAAGGAAGGTCGCAATGGATGCTGATGTCACAGTTTCATTCGGCAATTTATTCCATTCCCTGACGGCTCTTGGGAACAAACTAAATTTAAAACAATCGTTTTTCACAGAATATTCTCTTATGTATAAACTGTGCCGGTGGCTTAAATTTTTGTCTTTAAGGACTTGGAAATAATTATCTTTGTTTATCTTTACATAATCATTAATAATTAAGAAAATAAATTTTAATCTCTCAAAATGCGTCCTAGACTCGAGGGTTGGAAGATTAGCCATTTGACAGAGCTCAGTCGGGGAATGATCGCGCCGGTATTTGTTATAAATGAACCTATCAGGCTAAGCGCTGAACTTTTTCCAATTTAAAGGCATTTGTGATGGTATGTGGATCCCATGCTATTTTGGCGTACTCTATGACTGGCCTAACAGGGGCCTTATAGGCGAGACTTTTTACGTCTGGTGAGGCGTACGACAAGTTTCCTCTTAGGTACCATAGCGATGTATTGGGTTTTGCGGACACTATGTCTATATGCACATTCCAACGTAAATCTGAAATGAATGTTAAGCCTAAGTAATTGTGCCTTTGCGAGTTCATGCTTGTTGATACAGTAGTCGTACCTCAGAAATTGTTTTTTCCTCGTAACTGTCCTAAAGACTGTCATATTTAAGGACTGGCAATCCATATAGGGATATAAAGCATGTATCCAAAGAAAGACGGACTGCTCATAATCAGAACATGCAGCGACGACAAAAAACAACAAAAAACATCAGCAACAACATAGAGAGTAACGACTTTACGAACTCTTTCTACCTTACTCGTGGACGGCTGCAACGGTTTAGTTTCTGGTCTTTCCGTGCCGCTGGGCCGAACCGTAATCTGTATTGCGGGTATTGCGCTATAGAACAATCATGGTCGGCAACTGTTTTCATTTGTTACCGCAGTTCCGAAGCCGCCTGTCTAATACTCCGCACCCGGAAGCCCCCGACTGACGGTCGCGTTGCGACGAAATGCTGATGATGCCACAGCATCGCTACCCGAAGAACAGCCCCGTCTTGATTGAGTGTAGACGGTGCTGAAATGTCGCACTCTGATGGGACGCGACATCCTGGCGGACCGTCTGATCGGAACTGGTTGCAAAGACCAAAAGCAATTAGGTATTTGATGGGATTTGACCGTCATGTACGAAACTTGGCATGTTACTTCGTAGACCCGTAGAAATGCATAACATCAACTCAGTCTCATATTTACGTTGTTTTCTTTCGCATATTCGGAAGCTCAAACTGACATATTGTTTTCCGTGCACGCGGATGCTCGAGAACTCGCACAACCAAAACGCTTTCTACGCTAAAGCGCTCCATTGACGCAGCCGCTTGCAGTATTTTCAGATACATCGGCAATAGAGTGCAGCTGTGTGAAATAATGTCACTGTATGAATGAATACTTGCGTGCGGAAAGATTTGCTTTCGGGCTGTGCGAATATTCCCATCGCATAGCGCGGCGTCCATTCCTAGCTTTCACACTGGAAAGAGAGCTGGTATATATCGTGTGCGCTCTTAGCGCTGTAATGCTGCGGCGTTCGAATCGCGACCGCGTAGCGGATCCGCTCGATTTCATCATAAAATGCGCGTGAATTTGTACTGCTTATTTAGGCAAACGCGTTCGTAACCGCTTTGCGAATGCGGTTTACCTGCCAGTGTGAATGCGGCGCTAAGGCTGTCTGTGAATGTGTCTGCGCTCTTCCATTTAAACCACTATTCGAACACCCCCCCCCCCCCCCCCTTTGTTTTTTTCCTTTCTAAAGTCACGTGCTTCCGCTTGTGCTTCCTACAAGGCTACACATAATCCTCGAAAGAGAATATAGTTGGACGACCACAGTCAGTAGAAAAAGCAACAACAACAAAACAACAGTTCAATCACAGAGAGTGCTTTCTCAATGCCGCACGCTTTTATACCACTAGCAAGCGGCCATAACACAATTAATGAAACACTTACAGTTCGGCTATCTTAGAACCCTCAAATGCACCTCCGTGAATGGTAGTGATAGCGTTGTGATTCAGGATTCTGAAAAAAAAATGAAGAAATTCTTAATTCGAATTATGTTAACTTTGCACTAGTTCAGAAATATTGTTGTTTTAAGAAATCGTAATTGTTCCTTTTAGACAAGGACTCTGCAATCCCCGAGCCGGTCCCTATTTGGCTTCATTGAATACAATTTTATAGTGTGCGACTTAAAAACAACAACAAACAGACAAAGGTATTGCAAAATATTTAGTGCAGTTTTAATCATTTCATATAATAAGGTCTGCAAGTCGTAGTTGTATGCACTACAGAGAAGATATTAATTTGATCTAGACTTCCTCTTCAATCCTTGTCGAATATTTTGCTTTCAAAGCGAGCGCTTTGTTCACAAATATTCATATTCAGAGCTGAGCCAGCGTATAAATATTTCCAAATTACGTTAAATCACGTGCCACGTATAGTCAGCAGCGAAACAATGCCTACCCAAGCGCGATGATAATCTTAACATCCGCGTTCCGCCACTGCTAGATTTGCGCCTGCTGCACGAGTGAGAACTTTGGTGCGCCCCCGAGTTTCCCGCGAGCTTTAAGTCGTTCTAAAAAGAGTTGATTTAGTGATTTTTGATGACGCTCAGTAAGTTCACAATTAACTATTCACTAAATAAATGGTTAATTCACTAATTTTGATTAATTATACGACTTATCGCAAAGATTAGTCACCCACATAATGTCCCCTACCGTATAACTCACCGCCACAAACCGTATTGGTGAATTCTTTACGAATGTTTTGTGATAAATCTGTTCGCATTGAAATGGAACACCCGTATATTTACTTGAGGATGTTTCACGAAATGTGGACAAATTCGATATTGCAAAAACTACGCGTCGCAAAAAAAAAAAAAAAAAGGCTTGTGTCGTTTTGGTCCTGGGCCAGGGGTCTATTTAGGAAAATTATTAAAATCCGGGATAATTAGATTGTTAATTATGTTTGCGTAATTAACTTTTTTAAATATTGTGTTTAAGGGCATGCTTTCAATAAGAAAATTGCTCAGCATCATAAAAAAACACTAAATCAACAAATTGCAGAACGATAGAAGGCACGCGAAGCATTTTACGGCTGTCTGGAAAACCGCACAAATTCGACGGGTTAAGTTTCGGTTTGCTATCGGAGCGCATCTCGACCCCGGCGGCACCGCGCCCCGTGGAGAAATAGTGCAACCAGCCTCTGCTGCGTCGCGCGATGACAGCGCAGCAGAGGTTGGATGCACTATTTCTTCACGGGGGTGCGGTGCCGTCGGGGCCGAGATGCGCTCCAGTTGCAAACCGAAACCTAAAAACCCGTCGAATTTGTGCGGTTTTTCAGAAAGCCGTGAAATGCTGCGCGTGCCTTCTATCGTTCTGCAATTTGTTGATTTAATGTTTTTCGATGATGCTGAGCAATTTTCTGATTGAAACCAAGCCCTTAAACACATTATTAAAAAGTTAATTACGCAAAAATATTGAACGATCTAATTATCCCGGACTTTAATAATTTTCCTAAATAAGCCCCTGGCCCAGGACCAGAACAAAGTTTTTTTTTTGTTGCGACGCGTAGTTTTCGCAATATCGAATTTTTCCACCTTTCGTGAAACACCCTGTATATAGTGTGCACGAGCGCACATTCGTCTGCTACTTGCGCAGCTGGGTTGCGGTGACGTCAGACCGCTCTGATTGGCTCCGACTGGATGGATAGTGGGTAGACCTCGAAGTAGCTAGCATCGAGGTCTACCCGCCACTATACTTCCAATCAGGAACCAATCAGAACTAGACTTTCTGACGTCACCGCAACCCGTTACGCAAGAGGCAAACGTACTTGCGCTCCGCATAGTTGCTGACATCTGAAGAGACGGGAGGTGTGGCTTTTTGTGATTCGTTCTCTGGGCTTACTTGTCGATCTTTGCTGCAATATGATTGACTGCCAGCAATAGTAGGTTGCCCGCGACTCACCACGTCCTGCTTTCCTTACACTCTAAGAAATCCATGCGCCTCTACTAACCCGCAAAACGCTCAAAGAGCCAATCTCTGCGATCTAGGAAATCAGCTCAGCGAATGATGAGGCGGAACATCCGTTTAGACTTAAAAAGTAAGTCTGCGCTGTGGCATCACGCAATACAAAGCGTCATGCTTGCATTGCGTAATGCTGCAGCGCAATTAATTTTAAGGTCTAAACAGATGTTCCACCTAATCATTTGCTGAGCTGATTTCGTAGATCGCAGCTATTGGCTCTTTGAGTGTTTTGCGGGTAAGTAGACGCGCAGACATTTCTTAGAGTGTAAGCTGTCGGTGACTCTAGACACCCATCTTACTTTTTCTCTCACCAGGTCGTCGTATCCACCAAAGTACATAGCGCGAATGTTTGTTTCCGCACATCTAGGGTCCACTTAGAAGTAGCTTGGGGGATCGCGTATTGCCTATTGTTCGCGGGAGGCTTCGCAAAGCAACTGTCGGTGAGATTCCACAAGTTTGGCAGCACTTCACTGGCAAAGGTCTTGGAGCAATTGGCTGAGCATTGGAGGATCAATGCGGACAGATGGGCATCCCACCTCGACTCCGCGCAATCAGCTCGTCGGAAAGAGGTCGGAGCACAATTAGATATCCTGATCCGGTGCGAGACTCTGGTGACCTCGCAATAAATCAAATACGACAGACAACCTTTTCACACCCGGCACGAGCATTCCTCTTTACGAACGCAGTGGCCTTGAATGTCGCAGCGAAGTGCGTGAAGACGTTCAGTTGAACAAAATGTAAGGGCGCAAGCGAGCTGTGTGCATTGCACATGGTTGAAAAAAACCCGAGACTGCGGGTAAACGACACAACACTAAAAAGTCTCTAACACAGCTGAAATTTTTATTTTCCGAAATCTGGTTATATAGGCACTTCGAACAAAAGAAAAAAAAGAGGGAGAGGGTGAGAACCCTAAAGAATGCCACTTTCCACCAACGTAACCTCTGACTAAACAACAAGGACAACAGACTGCGTCATGTACTTCTCTTATCTTTGACCCCCCGTTTCCCGACCTCCAAACACACTGGTAACCCCAAGCCCAGTGACACAAATAAAAGAAAAAAACAAAAAAAAACAAAAAAAACAAAAAAAAACATCGTCCCCTTTGCCCGAAAACTTCAGCTGTGTTAGTAGATCGTTTTCGCCGTCGCGCGACGCTCTCCGCAACCCGCTATGATACCCGGAACTCTACAGCCAAGGCCATCGGCGCGCCGGCGCAGAAGAGGCTTCTTCGTTGCGGAGGGCTTAGTGGAGGGGGAGACGCGGTCTACGATAACTCCCTTATATCTATGGGGAAGCTGTTCCAGGCCGAAATGCCGGAACTGGTGAATTTTCAAACATATATTGATAGTGCAAATGTAAGGTATATAACGTATAATAAAACGCCAAAGGGGGATCTACACGAGACTATACAGGGTCAGCCGCCGCAGCATCCGGGACAGGCATATTTCGTGGACAATCTGACCTTTTCCTCGTCTCCGTTGCGCCGCTCGAACGGAGACATGTGTACACGGTGCGATGCGTACCGAGTACATGCGATGCCCATCTCCTCCACATCATGTGCTTCGTATGTACTTGAAAATTGCACATTCGCCCGCACTTGCAACTGTAGGCGGACACTCAAGCCCACGAACACGCCCACGAACACGCACAGGCACACACGCCCACGCTAACACACCAACACACGCACACAAGATCAGCTTGTGTGTTTGTGTTGTCTTCGGTGTCGCTGTTTTGTTCATTCGAATATCCTTCAGAGAAGCTGTTTTGAGTCGTCGCATTTTGTTAGTTTAAACACGATACTAGAATGTATAATATTACCTCTGTGTCTTTTGTGTAACAGTAGATATGCAAAGCTGCTAGATAATTAATCTATTGTATTTGAACTGTACAATCAGCCTTAGCCGGCTCGGACATCGTGAGTTATGTTGAAAACGATGAAAATAATCCCTGGAGAAGGGGAACAAGAGGGGCAAAGGACAAACACAAATCTCCAAACACACCAAAGTGCTTGTGCGCGACCAAAAAATCCGTCTGGTCCCGGACCAGGCGTATTGTTTCGGTCGCTCACCAGTCACCTAGCTGTGCTTGGAGATTTGTGTTTGTCCTTTGCCCCTCTTGTTCCCCTTCTCCAGGGATCATTTTCGTCATCCTTGTCCAGCTCGCTTCCAACTTTGCATTTAATTGCATTATTATCATGAGTTACGTATTTTGGCAAAGGTTTAATAACTCTAAAAGAAGAACTGGAATTTTGTCATCTTTAAAAGTATTCGTTTTCCACGTTGTTTTTCTAAGGAAGATATTTTATTACCGTTTGGTTACACTTTCATTGCATATGAGAAGATTTAACGGATTTTTGTAGTTAAGGCATCAGCAATTCCCAAGCACACGACTGTCGAAAAACGTCCCGGTTCATTAAAGACATTGTATAAAAAAAAAAAAAACAACAACAGTCATTTGAAGAAAAAAGTTACATATAATTAAAACAGCTTACAGTGTTCCTGCTTTGACTCGGATGGCCCTGGTGTTGATCTTCCCAATGCGATTGCTGTCGAAGTCTCTGTAAAGCAACGTATGTCGCGGTATAAAGTTTACAGTAAATAAGATGAAACTAAAATAAATACAGAAATAAAATAAGATAAAGCAAATGATCTTTCAGAAAAGAAGACGAACCGAAAGCACGACAAGAGTAGGGCAAAAAGGCAAAATAACAGAAACACGCCAGCTTATTTTCGTGGGATCTTGTTTTCACGACGCGATTATGTATCTTCAGTTAGGTCTAAGGGTTAGGTTAGGTTGGTTCTCTATATGATTCCTGACACTCGCATATCTGCTAGCCTAATTTAGCAGACGGCGTCAACGGTGCAGACGCGCGTAGCTCTTCAGTGAGGGCCTGCTACATCTGCGTAGCTGTGCCCCTATGAGCCGATAAAACATATTCGTGCAAATCGGCTTGGCTTGGAAGGATCCGTTCGCTACCGCCGTAACCGGAAGTGACACTGTTGGGCACCACAGCGTGTAAGCAAAGCCAGGAAGTCAGAAGGGAGCCTGGATTACAGGATCCTCTAAACACTCAATAAAAAAAAGTGGCAGCGACTGTTACTTTTAAAGTCCTATATTTCATGAAATGCATTATAGGACTTTATAAAACTACAATACATTATAGGATTATAGGACATTATAGGATTATAGGATTGGAGATAGGCGGGGAGGAAGGGAGAGATAGATGGGGAAGACACTGGAAGCAACATCACCTAGGGTTAGCAAGGTGTTGCTAGAACAGCCCCTTCCATCCCCCCCCCCTTTCAAGGGGGGGGGGGGGGGGTGGGGGGGATGGGAAGAGAAAAAGAGCGGGAGAGAGATGGGGAGCGAAATTGGGGTGAAGGGTTGGGAGGGACAGAGTGCGGGAATTGGTGTGTCACATGACGTTTATTTTCCCGCTAAACTTAGCGGAGAAACTGAATTACTGTTTTGATCACAGGATGGGAATTTTCCAGCTAAATTGAGCGGGGAAACTGAGTTGACGTATAGGTCACGTGCCGTCAATTTCCACCAAGTATATTGGTCACGTGACGTCCCGTGACGCCACTTTTCTCGCTAAATTTCGCGGATAATGCACAGACGGACGGACGGACAAAATAGTGTGTTTGTGGGTAGCGTCAAAAAGCATTTCATTCTTTAAAACGCCTACTTGTGTTTTACACCAGCTCTGAATATTCATGAAAACGTTTCCTGGCGCTCATAAAATATGCAATACATGGGAACATCGAGTCAAGGTGAACGCAAATTTTGCGACAAAACACGAACGTAATCTCCCTGAAAAGCGGTATAAGTTGCCAGGACGACGTTCAGAAATGCTGCGCTTGGTGCTTTTAATGTCACGCAAAGATGCCTGAAATCCGGTTATGGTCGTGCGATAGGTGAGGTGCTCAAGGGAGACCCACGGTAGAATGCATAATATATTATTAACGATTCTGAACAATTTCCCTATTGGTTCTCACGTTTTTGTAAACGTATTGGTGTGTCCGATTATTATTTATGTAATACGGTACTGTGCACACAGGCTGTTTGTTCCGGCGTAACTTTGGTGTTATTGTGGACTGTCGTCTGCCCCCCTGTTATTAGTCATGTAGTGTCTGGAACACAACTTCGAGCATCGTGTTTCACGCGCCTAACTCGGTGCTGAATATACGCTCATTTCTCCATACACAGCAGTATTTCTATGGCAGCTGTTTTACCGTAAAAAGAAAAAAAAAAAAACATGAAAAATTGCTGATTGCATGTTAGGGTAACGTTTGTTTTAATTTCGGGTACTGTCAGCCCGTGGGCAACTAGAGGAAATAATATTATGCACTATAAATAAACTGTTCACATCCTTAGTTTTTGTTGTTGTTTTGTTGAAGCTCTTTTTTTTTTTTTGTAAGTCTACATAGACGCATTTTCGGGCTGAGTCTTGTATTAAATAGAATCCTCGAAACAGACGTCACATGGATTTCCTAGCTATTGCCGCGTGCGTGGTGGTGTTGGCAACGCCCGCCGGGCTGCCACGCGGGGTAATGGGGTTCGAACACCGCTCGGTCTGATTCCTTTCTTTTCTTTTATCAATTTTTACTATTCTGGAAAGATCTAGCCCATTCTTGGTTCTCATCGTGTTTTCTGGTTTAAAACATTCGCGAACGTACCGTGTGCCCAAAAGCAGTGGTAATGCTCTGCTCCGGGCACTCGCACTCCCGTCGCCGACGGGGGATGCGTGGCACTTTTCTCTTTAAAGGGCAACTCCGGTCCATATTTTCGATTTTTTGATTATGACTGTTTTTAGTGCAGTCAGCGTCTCTCAATTGCAAGGTGTAATTTTTTTCTCCTTATTGTGCGTAGTTTTAAAGATATCGACGCTTCAAAGTTTTGCTTGGGGCGCGGCCAACAAAACCGAAACTAGCCGCTCGAGGCTCCGGCAACACTGGGAATTGGCTGCTATGTGAACGTGACGTCAAGATCGTTCTCGATCAACGAGTACGCAGGCCGAGCGGCACTTACCTCTGTTGCGCTAGCCGTCTAAAGATAGGAGGTAAGCTGATTTTGTTTTAATTCTGTATACGGGGTAGTTATCCAGCCCATGTAGCAAGAGTTAGTGCGCATACCCAAAAAGCTAGCGACTCAAAAACCCTTGAACTCGTGCGGTGCCATACTCGGCGGCCGCCGCCGTGCGTGCGTTATGCGCCGTACTCGTCACTTGTATACCCAAAAGCTAGCGACTGGAAAACGAGTGAACTCGTTCGCTGCCGTACTCGGCGGCTGTCGCCGTGTGTGCGGTCTTCCGTACTCGTCGCTAAGCCTAAATTGTCATCGGGGCTCCGTGGATGGAGCGGCGTTGCTCTACGCCGCGCTGCCAGTGACGGACAGTACTGGGGGCCCTCTCGCTTTCGCGCTGCTGGTCAGTCCCAGACACGAAGCTTTCAGGCTCTCCGGCGCGGGCCGCGGCGCCCGAACACAGGTGTGCTGGACTGTACACGTCTGTTTTTTCGTTCTTTTTTCCTCGCGCGCGTAAAAGCCGAAGTCCAAAGTCCACTCGTCGAACAGCGTTCACCCACACCTTCTCCAATTTCCGGTCCGTTGGAAACTTGTGAAAAAGCACCTCGGTGTTGCGCAGCGGGGTTTTTGAGCAGCCCACAGCGCTACAAGTTGCACTCGGCATCTTTCGAGGAACAGCTGGGCAGTCTTGGGCGCACCGAGTTGCCCGCTAAAACGAGTCTTGGGGTCCTCACAAGCAAACAAACAAAAGGCTATACCGAAGCTACACGGGCTATAGACAAAAGCAACGACTAAACACGCCAATCACAAGCCGAAGTAGCGGTGGTAGCGGCTCAAAGAAGCGCACTCCGCGCAACGCCCGGACCGGAGGAAAAAAAGAGAACGATACGGACGTCACGGCCCAATGTTGCTTTAGCGATCGGCAACCCGCTGGCCGCCCGCTAAAGGTGTATCCACACGACGGACCGGGCCGCGCGCCGATTGATCACGTGATGCGCGGCCCGCAGGCCGCCCGGCTGCAATGAGCATCCACACGGCGGACCAAAAGAGCAGACGACAGAGCGAACGGGCCGGTCTAACCCTCGACCTCACAGCTCCGCCAAACGCATGCAGCGAGCTGCTTTGAGGCTATTTGTAAGGAGCCAAGATAGAGGTTGAACGAAAGAGACGTTTGGTCGCGGTGGCCCTGGCGCTCACCATTGAGAACGAGGAGGACTTAAAGGGCTACTCCACCGATTTTTTAATTGTCTCCGATTTGCTTGAAATTTTGCTAAACTCACCAACAAACATCGCGAAAATAGTATCCCAAATATTAGGTCAAAATATTGTTTTTTCGCGAAGTTATTGAATTTACAGTTTTGGTCCTCACCGTGTTTTTCAAGCTCGAAGTCTCTACTGGCAACAATGAAAAAGTGACGTCAGTGGAAGGCAGGGGTTCACTCTTTGGGCTGTAGATTTCGTTTTAAACTGATTCGAAGCAGTTTCATGGTGTCAAATGAATGCTTGGGAAGCTCGCTGCAGTACCACGGAACAAATGATTGGCATATTCCTTTTTGGCTGCTTGCTCGACTGGCAAGCCTGCCTGCCACTGACGTCACGGCCCTGAAAAGCGCGCGTATATTTGAATGTTGGTTTTTGCATCATTTTCATTTGCCGATTTCGCAATAACTGTTATGAATTTCGCGATTCTAAATAGCATACCGGAGAGAGTAAAGGCCGGGGAGTCAGAAAATATAGTTAGTTGAGGTAGCTCAAAAAATCGGTGGAGTACCCCTTTAAGTAAACCGAAAAGGGCATGCATCTATTATCCCACAGAGCGGGGCATTGCTCCACGAGCGCGATGCAGTAAAAAAATTGCATCGTCTCACAACAAAAGGTTCCTCTTCTTCGTCTTCAACAGTTGGCGCCAAAAGAAAACGACCAGTGGTGTTCCATACCTTGTCCAAGAATTCCCTTTCTTAGGTACGAAAATTCCCTTTTCGAGGTACTTTTTCCCAGCAAAATTTTTAAATATCCACGCATATTTCCCTCCATTTGATGCCTTTATTTTCGCATCAGCTGATTTCTGTGGTCACGCAGGCCACTATGCGCGCATTTTAGCACAAAAACTGTGTGAAATCGCATGTTTAAAGAGAAGAAAATGTTACTGCCCTGCCGAGAAACCTAGTATAACTTTTCGCTATGTGGGTTACGGAACTGGGATTTCAGGTTTCCAGAAACAATTCTACTTAGATTTCCAGTTTTGAGTGAAAATTTATACTGGCTTTTTGGTACGGCGGTCAGTTTATATCTTTATTAGCTAAATAATATAACATTTAGCAGTGTTTGGTAAAGTACATCTAAAAAGTACTTGGTCTTTCTTTTCTTTGTTCATTCAGCCTAAAGGGCTGCGACACCACAGAAAGGCCATTGGCCCATACCTGATGCCTGCAGTGCCGCAAATGAGAGGTTATGTACTTCAAGTAAAGTAGTAAATACATCGGGTGCAATTTACTTCAGGTAAAGTACTATAAATATCATGTACTTCCAAAG